ACCATCTGCACTGATGTCATCTCAGACCAAACCACCCTAATGCCTTCCCATCCTAGCAACACCCACTGAACCACCTTCCGCCCATTCTCCACACGGCCGCCAGATTATTCATTTAAAGCCTTCTCCTGCAGAAAACTCTGGAATGCCTTCCATTTTTAAAAATCAGTTAGGGTTTGACTAGGCAAGGAAAGCAAGGGTAAATGAAATGGATTAAGGGATTTATTATGAGGATTCGAGCTTGCACAGTTGTTAGGGAAGTGAACTGAAAACTGTAACTACATAGAACCTTCATTTCTTCAGTATAACCTTTGCTCCTTCCTTTCCTTTTTTTCAAACTGGCCCCATCCAGCACCCTGACTCACCCGCCTTCTTCTCTCTTGCGGGACCACTGCCTAAAGCATTAAGCCTCAGGACAAGGAGGTTATGATCAGCATTAAATAATTTTAGAAACAAAATCTTAGGTCTGTTGACCACAGAAACAGAGTTTTGGTCAAAGTGGAGGTAACATCTAGTCCTTAGTTGGTTTCAGTTTCAGGCCCAGAAAAGCTGTGAAACCAAACAATGCCATGGATCCTAGGGCCAACTAATAAATAGACACTACCACCCTGATCGGAACCCTAACTCCCTAACCACCATGACTAATGATTGTCCTCTGATTACCGGGCCCCTGGGAGCCATTGGGGAGCCAGGTCTTGAGCATGAGCTCACCTGAGTCTCCACATGTGGGCCACTTCCTAAAAACAAACCTCTACTTTGCTGTGACCTCCTGTTCCTGTCTTACTGGCTTTGATTCACTCAGGTAACTGGACCCCTTTAGATTGGCAACAAAACCAAGTCACCAAACATCAACTTGCCAACTTGACTATCGCATTTAAAACTGTGAAGCAGGGACCTTTAACCAGGTCTGGGACTGGATGCAGCAGAGGCAGGGGCAGGAAAAGAGCAGATGTCCATGAATTCCACTCATTCATATGAAAGATATTCAGGAAGTCCTACACCCCGAAATGTGAAATGTAATTGACATGGATATTCAACCCAAGTAGAAATAAAAATTGTAAGCATAATTACCAGGATGAAATCTCAGTGAAACAAAGTCGCCTCCAGACTATCCACGCACCAACAAATCTCCAACCATTTGGTAAATTTGCGTATTTTATAAAAGTTAATTCATGCACGTATTTTCAAAAATGACAAAGTCTACATATTGTCTCTGGTTTTCAGTTCAGTGCTATTCTCTGATTATCTTCTTTTTTTGCTTTTTTTATTTTCTCTAATGATCTATGTTGTTGTTCTTTTTATCCCTTTACTGTTGTAATTAGTATTTATTTATAGAAGGAAGGAGCAAAGGGAGGCTGACATTATAAGCGTGGTCATCCTTCACCAGGAAGCTGCAACTTTACTCTCCCCGGGAACCAGCAGTCAGTTCCCTGCACATCACTGTGGGAAAGGATAGAGCACAGGGGGAAGTGGGTGGGGGAGCAGTGATGTAGGGAAGGTGATTGCCTGTTAGTTTAACCTGGAACAAAAATCATTGGCTAGCAGGGTAGAGCGAATGCAAGCCCACGAAACTTTGGGATATGTAATCCCCAAACAAAGGAATTCTCTCATATTGTTCCTCTGGGTTTGCTCCCGCTTTTTTGCACTCAGCGATGCTCCCTCCATAGCCATGTGTCCCTAGAAGCCGCATGCGGACCCCACCGCAATGGACTGCAGCTGGGAACACAGGCTGATCTAGCCACATGCTGGACTGGAATGTGCCAGTATTGAATGGAGACTCAGGGCAGTAACTTCAGCCTTAGCTCTGCTGAAGACATAGCTGGACTTCTTCCATAGGACAGAGGGGGGCCTTGGAACTGAAAGGGTTTAATTCCATGCAAATAAATATCACTCATTCTCCCATGCGAGTCTTAGAATATTACTTGTGACATCACAAGAAGCCCCTTCCACCAGCAACAGGCGGGGACACAGAGAGCGCCCCACCAGTAACAAGTCCACACCCACTAGAGGTAGAGGGCTCTTCCCTTTAACCAGGCCGTAAGAATAATTGCAGCCTATTCTCATCTCTCTGCCTGCTCAGATTTCACATTTGAAGTACAGCAAAACTGTGACAAACGTGTTTATAGCTCCAGTTATCCCTTGCCCCACTGCCTTCTGTGTGCGCTAATCCTGAACAAAGCAGCTTCCCATGGATTTTCCACAAAACCCCGAAGCCTGCTTGTTTTTGGGGGTAGAGGGGAAGGGAGGGGGTGGGGTGGGGGAGGATTCATTCCTGTCTTCCTGCCTGCACAGTTGTGTCCTGTAGCTCTGGTTACCCAGTACTGCTCTCCTTGTCTGTGAACTCTCTAAGGAGGAAGGCCACTAACAGCCTGGCCTGTGACCTGAGAGCGCCACTTCCAGGCTGGCTGTGGTGGGAAGACAGCTCCCTCTCTACACAGTGACCCTGAGTTCTATCTTGTCCCACTAAAATATGTAGTCCAGTTTAGAGCCTGGTGGCTATGGCTTGTTCTGTATACATTGTGTCTTCCCATAGAGCAGCAGCTCATCCTGCCAAGAGCCTTTGGAGGAAATTCCCAGAAGAGATGACCTTTCTTAAGGATTTTTTTTTGTATGTGTGTGTATGTGTGTGTGTGTGTGTGTGTGTGTGTGTGTGTGTGTGTGTGTGTTTCCCATGAAGACTTACAGCTTGTGAGCTTAAAACTTACCAACTTTGCTCTTTCAAATTTATACCAATTGAATATGCAGTTTGGTACTCTTCTAGGAAAAGTGATGATGTATCATCAATTTTTTTTAAGATTCAGCCCCCCAGTGACTCTCTAGGAGCACATGTGTAAAAACATCAGCCAAAAGGAAGGAAAGAGCAAATGAACTCTCATGGAAGATTGAATTGATTATTAATTGTACCGTGGTTTCATCAGCTGAAGAAACTAGCTATGCAGACTTTGCTCTCGGTAACGGGGAATAAGCAGTATTGGACAGTGAGTTCCTAGACGTTATCAATGAAAACTATGCCCTGGGAAGTGACGGGCAGCTATTATACATAGTAGTTCTCTAAACAGATACCACCCTCTTTCATCCTGATCACTGATATGGAATTTTTGGACTCCTGAGGCCCTCCTCCCTCTTTGTCTTCCTATTCCTTCTGGGCTTTCTTCCTTCTTTATTTTGTAAATATAGACCTGTTTTGGCTACTTCCAGTTCCCTTGTCCTATGGAGATGTACCTGTTGCTGCTCCCTTGTCTTATGGAAATGTAACCACACCTGGCTTTCTTGTGTTATGGAGATGTATCTTGTCCCCTTCTGTAGCCCTATGTTTTTCCATAGACCCCAGTTCTAAAAATTTCCTAAACCTGCCTATGTTCCCCTAAAATTCCTGTTTCATCACCATGAAAATTACTGAGATATTTGAAGCTTGTCTTGCTGAAGACCATTATCAACCAAAAACAAATGCCCATGCTAGCCCCAAGCTCTAAAGTTCTTTGCTAAATGGTCTCAATCAATAATTTACACATTGTGGGCCAAAATGTATCAAATACCTGGGATCCAGATAATTGCAGTGGCTTGATGTAATTGGACTTTATCTCAGTACTCCCTTTTTTCCAACTCTGACTTGTTTTCATCTTGCCCTACGTATGCACTCTGCCCATTACAAATTTGTCCTGTACCCATTGCTCCCCAAAATGATCTCCCCTCTAACCAAATGCTCCATCTGTAAAGAAATAACCTAGACATATGTATGTTCTTTGAACTAGCAAAACAAAGGTACTATTTATCCAATGTATGCTATGTACTTTTACATGTCTTTCTGTCTATGGTATCTAATTTAATTCTTATGAAAGCCTATGAAATGTGCGTTGTTATTCTGATTCACAGATGAGAAAACTGATGCTCAGAAAGTCAGAGAAGGTCCTTAGAAGCATGTGGGGGAAGTGATTTCAGAATGTCTTCTAAAAGAACCATTTGAGAGCTTCCAGAAGCACTTTCCCCAGTTCCCAGTCAGTTTTCTCAATGTCCTGTGGGGAGGGAACACTGGGTTTGCTCTTGGCTACCGCTTTCAGTAGCGCCTGCTCCTTTCCGAGTGAAACCCCTTCATTTGGGAAAGGTGCTTTCCAATGGAAGTGCTGTGGTTGCGGTTCTTGCTCTTAGTGATAGAAACTTAGTGAAAACTTAACTTGTGTTACAGATTAAAGAAAACAGAGGATAAATGAAGAGGTATTTACTCTTTCTAGAAGAGTGTTTCTATCTGTGTTTCTATGTACCGTATATAAAATAAAACATCAAGAGCAAAGAGGTTTGTTTTTGTTTTTCCATTGTGAAACCTAGGTGTCCCATTTCCTCCCCCTACCCCACCCCAAATTGGCCTTTGGGGAATAATCTGCAAAATCATCAAGATCAGATATTTTGTCTTATTCTTCTTTCTAACTTCAATTTCTGGCACATGATGAACCTTCAACAAAAGTTTGTTCCTTTGGACAGTAAATGAGTAATGGAACCACCAGAAGCCCCAGTATATTTAGTTTAGCTGGAAAGTGACAAATGAAATAATTCTGATGCATGATGGCTGGTTTTGATGTGTTATTGATTATCAAGGTTTTTAAATGGAGATTATTGTTGCATTATCCAGGGAAGCATAGCTATGACTAATGAGATAAAATTAAGCAAAAGAAAAATATGAATTGAATATCCAGAAATGTTTCCCGTAGATGAGGCTGGGATTTAATCAGGCAGAGGAGTCCCAGTGGAAGTGGCCGGGACATTTACCACCACGCGTGTCACTGAGCTGCAGCGAGCTCCCGCAGTTTACAGGGACGGCCGCCTGCGGCAGGATGATAAGCGAGGCCGTATTTCTAGTTTCACTGATTCTTTCTTACACGAGTTGTACATTCACAGCCTCCCGTCCCCTATGGAAAGAATTTATGTGTGTGTTAAATTTTCTGATTATAGTTTCCTTTTTCCCCCCAGAAAATACTCATTTTAGAGCATCTCTCCGGGTACCCTCAGAAATGTCTTCTTTAAGTGGCAAAGTCCAAACAGTTTTGGGACTCCTGGAGCCAAGCCAACTGGGCCGCACCCTGACCCACGAGCATTTGACAATGACCTTTGACTGCTGTTACTACCCACCCCCTGCAACTCACAAAGCTATCTCTAAGGAACCTATTGTGATGAAAAATTTGTTTTGGATTCGCAAAAACCCGTACTCCCATAAAGAGAATCTTCAGTTGAATCAGGAGACAGAAGCCATTAAAGAAGAACTGTTGTATTTTAAAGCCAGCGGCGGAGGGGCGGTGGTGGAGAACACCACCACGGGGATTTGCCGGGACGTGCAGACTTTGAAGTGGCTCGCTGAGGAGACTGGTGTCCACATCGTAGCAGGCGCTGGGTTTTATGTGGATGCGACTCACTCTTCAGAGACCAGAGCCATGTCAGTGGAGCAGGTAGGAAGCCCTAAGTTCTTAGACAATATTTGCATCGACATTCCAAATAGCCAGAATTAAGATGCTGGATTATCTCCACATGCAATCTACATTTGGAAATGTCATTGGCTCACAGGTAGCTGAGCATTCTACAGAAATTTGCTAGATAGCAAGGACATCTTCCAAGTGAGACCCAAATGAGAAACATTTCACTCCATAAAGAAAAGGTATTGAGGAAGGAGATCTTAATGCACAGGTTGCTGGGAAACCCAACATGCTAATACTTAGATCTGTGTACACTCCTCCACTGCTCAGTGGTGGCGTCCGGTCTGTTTGTAAACCTCGGTTTTTCATGATAAGCGTCAGTTATGCAACCTCAATTTTGTTGCTGGGTTTTATAATAACCAGCCATAAAAATTCACTGTAGGGTGAAAGTTGGCAGGAGAGACTTGGCACATTTGTGAATATTTCCTTCTTTTATACAACAGGAGGGACGGAAGAAAATCCATTCCCCTGTTGTTTTCATAAGCTCTTAGCAAGAATGGGTGGAACAAAAAGAACATATAATCAGCAAAACTTTGGAGCATGTGTATATGCTGTCTTTCTAGATATCCATGTATTATAAATAAATAAATAAATATATATATATCTGTATCTCCCATTGCCTGCTTAATAGGCTTACCATGTCAGTTGCAATATTTACAAAGCCTCAGTTAATCTTTAAAATACTTTGTATTTCAAATCTTTATCTGATTACTTTCCAAGCAAGCCTTTCCCTTTTTATATATTTACATTATTTGAGGACTATCATAAAGTACTATTACACTGGCTTCCAACTAGTCTTAGCAGTAACTGTAGATCTGACCCCTCCAAAAAATGTAATATCAGTATTATGTGCTGTGAATTTTCTATGGTGTATAGGGTAAAAGAATGCATAAATAAGGGGTAATTAAAGAATTGACATAGTTGATGTAGATAAAAAGTGTAGTCTTTTCATGTCTAATGTTTCTCTGGTTAAATATTGATTTTTTTTTCTAATCTGAATATACTTTCATTCAGTCATATTTTCCACCTATAGCTCCTAAAGCTATACATTTCTGGCTACATAGTCACAGTAAGATATTATTGAATCTTTTATGTAGAATTACTTGTTGAATTTGGCCAGCAAAATGCCTACTATTAATTGAATGAATGATGAGTACATTTTTGAAGAATGAATAACTAAATGAATAAATTTATTAACATACTGTGTCCATACTCTGTTGAGAAGTTTCACAATCTAAAAAGTATCTTCTTTCCCACCCTTCCTTACTGATGTTCCCATCAGCTTACTGATGTTCTCATTAATGAAATTCTCCATGGAGCAGATGGCACCAGCATCAAGTGTGGTGTTATTGGAGAAATTGGTTGCTCCTGGCCTCTGACTGAGAGCGAAAGAAAGGTACTTCATGCAACTGCTCATGCCCAGGCCCAGCTTGGCTGTCCTGTTATCATTCATCCTGGAAAGAATCCAAATGCACCCTTTCAGATTATCCGAATATTACAAGAAGTGGGTATGGACATCTCCAAAACAGTTATGTCGCATCTTGATAGGTAAGCAAATTATGTACAAACTACAGGTCCAATGCACGAAATTCGTGCAAGGGGCTCAGCCTTCACAGTCCTGGCTGGCTTAATAGCCCTCACAGCCTCTCGCAGCCCTGGCCTGCCCTCATAGCTCCAGCTTTGTCCAGAAAGTCGTCTGGAATATTGTCCGGACAGTCATTTGGCTGTGTGGTCTAATTAGCGTATTAGCTCTTTATTATATAGGATTAGTGCAAGCCTCCAGAGGATTATGGATAATTTAGACGTGTAGGGGACAGCAAAGTAGCTGACTATATAAGCAGATGTTGGCTGGAGTTAATCTTATGAATAAGCCTAACAATGTTGCAAAGGCTACACATTAGCCTTTAGATTGAATTGATTAAGGAATTGACACCATATAAGTGTATTAATACATTACAGTTACTTCTAAATTGGGTACATCTTGGGTATGAGGATGTGTTTTTCATTATTTCTGGAAAGCCTCAGCCCTTATCTCTTCAAATATCACTTCATCCATATTTTCTTTATATTTGCATCATAAACTCCAACTTGATATATGTAGGATCTAATTACCTGTCCTCTATGTCTCTTAACATCTTTTCCATATTTCCACTTATTTTCATCTTTGAACTGTAATTTCTTCAATTCTATCTTTCTATTTATACTTCTCTCTCCAGTGAAAGTGATCTGTTGTTTAGACTATCTATTTGCTTTATAATAATAAAAACTGTAGTTTTTTTTTATTTCTTTTCAAATCTGCTTGGTTAATTTTGACACATGTTTTCCCCTTCAATATGTTTTCAACTCAAGTGTTAAAAAATATTATGTATACAATGTTCACCTTATAATTAATAAACTTAATTTCTATTTTCTTTTTTACTCTAACTTTTTTGTTTGTTAATTTTTTTGGCTCTTGTTCATGTGAGGTTAGTTCCTTATATTTAAAAATGTTTTGTGGTTTGTTTCTTATAGGTAGTTAGGGGGCACTATTAACCTAGTATACTTTACTTTTTTGTAGTATTGCATATATCTCCTTTTTTCTCCATTGACTTTTCCCCTGCTACCCTTACCCCCAGCATATGCCTTCACCCCCATAGTGTCTATGTCCATTGGTTATGCTTATATGCATGCATTCAAGTCCTTTGATTGATCTCTTACCTCCCCCTCCTTCCCTCTGAAGTTTGAGGTCTATTCAATGTTCTCTGCCTCTGGATCTATTTTTGTTCATCAGTTTTTGTTGTTCATTATATTCCACAAGTGAGTGAGATCATGTGATAAGTATCTTTCTTTGACTTATTTCACTTAGCATAATGCTCTCCAGGCCCATTCATGCTGTTGCAAATGGTTAGAGTTTTTTTCCTTTTCATAGCAGTGTAGTATTCCATTGTGTAGATGTACCACTGTCTTTTAACCCACTCATCTAATGGGCATTTAGGCTGTTTCCAAATCTTAGCTATGGTGAATTGAGCTGCTATGAACATAGGGGTGCATATATCCTTTCTGATTGGTGTTTCTGGTTTCTTGGGAGATATTCCTAGAAGTGGGATTACTGGGTCAAACTTTATACTAAATTTTTAAAAAATTGTATAACTTGTGGTAAAATACATATAACATAAAGTTTAGCATCTTAAACATTTTAAAATATTTTTATTGATTTTAGAGAGAGAGAGAAAGGGAGAAATAGAAACCTCAATGAGAGAAAAACATCAACATGGATCCACTGCTTCTGGCACGCCCTCTGCTGGGGATAGAGTCTGCAACCCGGGCATGTGTCCTGACCAGAAAGGGAATCAGTGACTTCTTTAAGCATGGTGCAACACTCAACCACTGAGCCACAGCAGCCAGGTGCCATCTTAAACATTTTGAAGCATGAATTTCAGTAATGTTAAGTACATTCACATTATTATGCAACCAGTCTCCAGAATTCTTTTTATCTTGCAAACTGAAACTCTATACTCATTAAGCAAGTCCCCACTCCCTCTACTCCAGGTCCATGGCAACCACCTGTCTCTTTATGAATTTGACTGCTCTAGGTACCTGGTACCAGTACAGTAGAATAATACGGTATTTGTCTTTTTGTGACTTTAAAAAACTAAACTTCTGATTTGAAGGGTTTAGAACCACACAGGTGCTATGAATTCTGGTCCCTAGATTCAGTGAGTGCAGGCTTGTGGTTATATATTCTCAGAGGAGACTTTTTCTCAGCCTGCCTCCCTTTCACCAGAAGACAAGGCTAAAAGACATACTCTCCAAAGACTCCCTCTGTGGGTTAGTTTTTAACTCATCCATCCACATGGGTGTTGTTTTGGATGAGAGGAATGCTGCCTGTATGTGCTGCCTGCGGCTGTTTCCAGTTTGTCTCCTGCCCCTTCAGGCCCTGGCTCTCTATCATGGGCCCATTAGGTCCCCCTGGATGATGAGAGTTTTGGGTTTCCCCTTACTGTTCATTTTTCTGCTCTCTTATTTCTGCACCCCGAGCAAGTCCTTTATTTTCCCACCATCTGAACCAAGCATTTAAAAATATGTTTTTCCTCCCTTTCATTGCATTCAGTATTTTACTTGTACTATCCTGGAAGGTTTTCTGTGAATGTTTTAGTCTGCCAGACTGCCTGAAACTGCTTCACAGTGATTATTATGAAAGAAGCTTTCTAGCCCTGTTTATAGTTAGACTTATAGGTAAGTTAGAAAATTATGTTGACACTAATAGAAAATAAGGTTCCATTGGAAATTGTGAAACAATCTTAACTCCTAGCATAGTAGAACTTCCTTGTTCATAGAATCAAACCATATACCTACCGCTGCTCTGTGTCACTGAGCCCCAATCCACACTGGTTTTTACAGCCCATAGTTCTTACTGCCCTTATGGGCTCATAAAAATCAATATAAAAACATTATATATGTATACTCTTTGTTCACTAAGTCAAAGAGCATTTATACATATACATATATGTATATGCATATTTATATGTATTTTCTTTTAAACAATAAAGCTACACTGGCTGCCA